TGCATACAAAACACACACGCACAACCCAAGATTTCTCCATTCGCTGTGACGAAGGGCTAACCCTCGAAACGTCAGCTTTGAAACTGTTGACGAACAATAAGAGAACGAGTAAACAAAAAGAAAACGTCCTATATTCCAAAGGTTTTTATGGACGAATTTCTCGAAAGTGGCGAGGAGACAAGAGAAATAGATCGGAAAGATAGTTGTTTAACTGTGCAAACTATTGAAAATTATGGAGAAAAGTTTTCTTACTTTTAATTCTGTTTTTCGTTTCATGAGTGCTCTGTGTCGGAACCCACCGGAATAAAAGAAATGGAAAGAAATTTTCTCAAAAACTTCTCTTGACTGGCGAAGCAATTTTACCAAGATATATCATTACTAAAGACAAAGAACTCGTGCAATTTTTATCTAAAATATTACACAAGATAATCATTACTTAAAAGAACTCAAGAACTTTGATATTGCAACCAACAACCATTGCGATTTCTGCTCTAGGGCAGATTCCATAATACATTTCTAGAGTACAATGTCTCTATTTTGATATATTCAAGTAACATAAAGGGGCTTACGATGTACGCAAATTAAATGTGAGTCCTCAGGACAGAAGTTCTTTTCAACATAGCTTATTCAATCTGATTGATGAAATAGCTTCGTTGACGCCCATCCAAAAGCGCAGACTGGATCATCTCTAGCTTCTCATGAAACACTATGCTTATTCGTGTATAGGATAATAAGGAATTTTTTGATTATGCAAATGAGTTTTTACACGAGCAAAAATTTAGCAATCAGATTGTTAAAATGATGGCTAGATGAAAGCTAGCTAGAACTAATATGCTTTTGTTTAGCGCAGTTTACAAAGTTTCCATATTTTGTCCATAAACTGACTGAACACATCTTGTAACTTGCACTAAGAGAAATTACCGTGAGCCTTATGATTGCAGTCGCAGCGCGCTCGATAAAATCTGTGAAATTTACACTTACCGTATTTACTTGGATATAAGCCGATCCTGGCTATAAGCCGAGACCCCAAACTTCCAATTTGTAAACTCAGCGGCATCATCACGAAAAATTAAACCAAAACATTCGGCTATAGGCTGAGACCTATTTTAGAACGCAATTTTCATAAAAAGACAGAGACTTCACAAAAGAAACTAACTGACTGTCATGAATATTTAGAAGGATCGAAAAGTATAAGAAGGAAAGATTGATCTCTCCTGAAACACACGTAATCGCACAGCGTTAACCGATAATTAATTAATATTAATTTAGGCTACTGAACTGAAAGCGACATATCACAGTCAACATGAATTTAATGTGATCCTACCGAGTCAATAAAACTTAGTAAACGCCACTAAGTAAACAATCTGAGAAAAGGAACTGGATGATGAATTCGATACCGACAGTAGGGCGACGAGCAGTAAGAACAGGTCGCTTCAACTACAAACAAACGGCTCCTTTAAGAGCCACCACAAAATAAAAAAGTTTATGACCAACATGCTGTACCCTGAGTTTATTTTATTTATTTTCGCTCGGCTTATAAACGAATACGTGCCGATTTATCATTGTTCTAATAAGTCGAAAAAGTTTTGTTTTAGGAAAAATCTCGGCTATAGGCCGAACCCTCTTCTATAGATCAGATTTTACCAAATATTAGCGTGAATTTGTGTAAAAATCGCACGGCTTCTAGCCAAATAAATACGGTATAAAAGCTGTCCACATCGATTGTCTGGCCAAAAATCAATTCTGGCATGTGGCGACTTATTCTGAAACATGTGTCCTAAATCCTTTTCAGGGGCAAAATATGAAAGAAAACGTTTTCGATACTGGAAAATGTCGAATGGAAACAAGAGTTCTAACACGTTTGATTAAGAGGGAAGGGCGGAGGAAGGGAAGAACAAATCATGCAGGTGATCTGATCAAGCTAAATCGCAAAGTGAAACGCTCTTTTTCCTACAATCGTTGCCTTTTGCTTTTTTTTTAACTACAGGATATGTTTGCGGTTAAATGCAGTTTATTTCGGGCAAGAAAAATATCGAAGGCAAGTTGTTTTCTTCTAATTTGATAAAATGAAGTTAATGAAATTATAGAAAATCTGTAAACCTGTCAGAGGGTAAGTTGCGAAGCTGGCAGTTTCGAGTGTCCTGTACGACTTTGCATGCGTATATTGTGGGTGGATTGTGTCAAAATGAGTAGTACCTAAGTGAATGACTCACCATTAAATGGCTCTCCACGCTGGATTGGCTCACAAATTAGATTGCCCACTATTGAGTGGCTCACTTTTAAACTTGATGGCTCACTACCAAATATTGGATGGTTCACATTAAATGGCTCACCAAATTGAATGGCTCACAAATTGGATGGCTCACTATTGAGTGGCTCACTTTTAAAATGGATGGCTCACTACCAAATATTGGATGGCTCACTAAATTGAATGGCTCTCCAAACTGAATGACTCACAAATTGGATGGCTCACTATTGAGTGGCTCACTTTTAAACTTGATGGCTCACTACCAAATGTTGGATGGTTCACTTTGAAATGGCTGACCAAATTGAGTGGCTGACACACTGGATTGCCCACTACCAAATATTGGATGGCTTACTTCCAGATATTGGATAACTTTCACTATTGAATGGCTCATCGCACATTGAGTGTTGGGCCGAACGCGAGGAGCCTATTGTATAATCGGCGCCAGTCTCTTGCCGGCGAAATTTTCTAAGTGCCGCCCTCGCTGTGAGCGGTCCCTTCGACTTCCCGTCGAAAAAAGGTTCATTCGTATATTTTGCCCATGATAATGGACTATTAAAACTGTTTGAAAATTCTGGAAATGGTCAAAATTCCATATTTTGATCCTCCTACAGAAAGGAGGGCCAGTGCATTGCGTTCCGTGTACTAAATCTCGGAAGAAACGGCAAGAAGTCTTGCCGAGTGTATGCGTGTTGTTTTGTAAATAACACCGTAACGTATTTGAACTCGTTTGCTACACAGTATGTCTGTAATAACCTGAATTATACTAAATTTTACTCTCTTTTTGCATGGCGTGGTCGACGTCTGCATTAAGCGAAAATCATCGAAGAGGCGCCTTGGGATCACCTTTGTTTGCTTTGTAAGTTATACAAGCCTACGACTTATCACGTTTATGCAATGTTTTAGAACAGCTAGGGATCTATTTTTCATCCAAAACCTCACGAGTATGATTACAGACCGAAATGGACTCCACCCGGTCCTATTACTATTGTAAACTATGCAATGATATGCTTTTTTTTAGCTCAATTTACCCCTTTCCTTTTCGATGATTCTTTCCTACAAATTGGTTAGTTTTTGATATACAAATAAAGGTCGAAGAAAAGGCTCTCCTCTGATGACACTAGTATGAATAAGGTTTCAGGTGAATTTTTCATATTTTGTCTGTAAACTGACTGAATACATCTTGTAACTAGCAGCAAGAGAGTATTCCGTGACCTATATGAATGCAGTCGCAGCGCGCTCGATAAAATCTGTGAAATTAACATCTTCGATTGCTGTCCACACGGATGGTCTAGTCAAAAATCAATTTTGGCATGTGGTGACTAAGTTTAAAACACGTGTCCTAAACCCTTTTCAGAGGCAAAATATGAAAAAAACCTTTTTTGGACAAGAAGTCGAGGGGACTGCTATTAGCAAGAACGCCGCTTAAAAAATATGGCCTGCGAGAGGCTGGCGCTAAGTATATATCAGGTTCCTTGTGTTAGACCCAGCATTTCGATTGCTGTCCACACGGATGGTCTAGTCAAAAATCAATTTTGGCATGTGGTGACTAAGTTTAAAACACGTGTCCCAAACCCTTTTCAGAGACAAAATATGAAAGAAAACCTTTTTTTGGACAGGAAGTAGAGGGGACCGCTATTAGCAATAACTCCGCTTAAAAAATATCGCCTGCGAGAGGCTGGCGCCAAGTATAGATCAGGTTCCTTGTGTTAGACCCAGCATTTAATACGCGGTGAGCCATTCATTCCATCCAATAGTAAGCCATCCAATTTGGTAGAAGCCCATTCAATTTAAAGTATTCAATTTAGTACTGTTAATTTTGACACAAACCATCCCCATAAAATTATCTTCGACAAATGTTTGTGATTCGAGATGATCGACATTTCTTGCTGAACAATAACTAATTCTAAGGCAGGAAACGCGTACCATTCTTAACACATTCGTTACAAAAATACTTTTCTGCTCTTTTGAATACGTTTTTTGTGTGCAATCTTTGATGCTTTTTTGCTTTGTGTGGACATTTCATTGTCTCTTATTAGTTTTTGAGATAGTGGCCGTGTTCGTTCCGTCAAGATGGCTTGATATCAGCCTCGTTGTTTTTATGCTGTTATCGATCATGACGAAATTTGAAAATATTTGGCCCTTTTACGCCTGTGGTGTGGGGGGAAAAGCAAAGTGTTGTTGGGTGATTTGAAAAGACAAGCATCCAGTGATCGACATTAACGTTTTACATGCTTTTATTTCATTTAGTCAAAACGATTACAGTTTCAACTCGCTTACTGAGGGCTAAATAGCCTCCTGTCATATGGAAATAACTTCTCACTGTGAAAACAAAATGAAAGATGAGAGTCAGGTAATATAAACGTAACTTGTAAAACGAAGCTATCGATGACTAAATATCTCAAACTAAAAGCGATTAGACCACTCGCTTATACCCGCTTATACCCGCTTCCCGCTACGTTTGTCGTTGTTTTGATTTTACAATAGTTCCTTTTCATATGTTCCATTTTTTATGACTGGCTAATGATTTTGTTTGGATTTTTGTAATTGGTCTTTGAGGCTCGTGCAACCTAACTGCACGGAAAAAATCCTTTTGAGCTCTCATTGGTTCTTTTGGATCTCTTCCATTGTCCTGATTGGCTAAAGTGATGGCTCTAGTTTGGTTGTACGGGACTCAGTCGAACCTCGCTTTAAACCGATTTGACCACTAAAGCTTTTTTTTTATGCAATCTGACGTTTATAGAAACCTTACCGTCTGACAACAGACTTCCATCGGATGATAACAGAAGTCACCAGTCGGGGGCAACTGATAAGGACACGGTCCTGGCATACAAGAGAACGGGCATTCCTCTCGCTTCTCCTGATGGTGTGTCACTGCTGATAAACGAATAAGGGATGGATGGTTTTTTTTTAATTTTAGTTATAGATTTTAAGATTATTCGAATACATCCAGTTGAGTCGGCTCTTGCTGAATCTTTTGAAAAGATGACGTGGCTTTACGAATAAAGAGGGATTTCTTAGACTACTGAGCCAGATAGAGGATTGGGTGATAAAAATTGCTTGAAAACCATGCTATAGCAGAGATGAAAAAAGCTACGAGAATTTGACGTTCAACACATTTTCCTGAAGACAATGCTTCGTCCACGGTGAGGAAAAAGGTCTTATGGGCGCTTACATACCCAAGCCGATATCGAAACTCACTGTTTAAGCAAAGGTCGTCAGCGCAGAGGAATGTTTTTTTTTAGTATTTTTGTATTCCTAGCTCTCAATTTTTGACTTGATCGAGCAATTTTTAATTGGGTGTCGAAATTAATCTGCAACTACTTTGGTCTTACTTAATTTTGCTCAGTGATTGGTCTAGAAAACTTGCGCCATCCTCTGAACCAATCAGATGCGGCTTGGTCATCCGCGTTTTCCCGCCCTTAGGCTGTTTGCTTTTTTCCACTTTGAGTTCTCATTGGCTAATAATAACGTGTACCTTTCTTATAATTACGATTTAAAAAAACAAGAAAAGAAAAGCTCACCACCTTCAGGCGAGTCTTCATGGATTTTTCCGCCCAAAACCATGCCACTTAACAACACAAAAATGAAGAACTTTGCCAGAATAGACATCTTGAGCAATTACTGAGGAAAAAATACAATCAGCAAACAATAAGTCACTCCCTACATAAACACAAAACGACAAACAGATGGGCTAGCCCAGCCAAACGGGTCAGTTGCAAAAACCACTTGATCCATTGTACGCACTTATTTGGTTGAATCTATGACCTAGCACATGGTAGAAGGCTTGATATTCCATAGCCGCGTATTTATTCTGCCTGCAACAACCAACCGTACAGGAGACCTAAGCCTCTTCTCTGGACGTTTCTGAGGGTCTCTTTAATTGATTTATTTATACTTATGGAAAAGGAAGCTCAAGAAGAGAGAAGCCAATTGAAAAGCAAGAAACCAAGCCCAGAGTACCAACAATGTGCAGTGCAAAAAAAAAAAAAAAAAAAAAAAAAAACCTTACAAAATAGGCGAAAACGGAAACTCCAATGTTCCCTCCCTCGGCTTCAGAGCTGGGTCAGAGACGGCTTGATTAAAAGGTTACAGGTTACATTATCGTTAAATCTTAACCTGATACTTATCATTTCATCGTTTGCCACATCGATTGAATACGTTTTAAAAGAAACCACCTCTTGGGCGTTATCTCAGTGTTTTAGAACAAAACTCAACTACAAAAAAAATGGAGAACTTTCTTCCATATATCAGTCTCAAAAACTAGGATCGCCAGTAACACCGTTTTAGTTAAGCCCAAGGAAAGTTAAGGTAAGTTCTTATATACACTTAACTGTTAAATGTTTTCCTCACTTGTCACAGGAACGATCAACTCAAAGTCCTCAAACTTCCTTCAGTTGAAGAATAGCTTGTGGAGAACGGGGTGCTTCGGTTTTATAAGTGAAGTGGTGGTTACCAAGGATACTTGATGGCGAATTAAGAATGCTTCTACGAAAACAGTATGAGAATAACGCCTCAAATATTTTCTCTGGGGGCCAAGAACAGTTTCGTTATTTTCTACAAGTTGTTGTGTGATCGATTAATGGCACATGTTTCTATATTTTGCTTCGATGATAACAAAATTGATGTAGGGTTTTTTTTTCCAATCGCAAGAAACAGTTACCATGGCTAGTACATCCCATTTAAATGCATCGTTAGTTCTAGCTTTCATATATCTGTTTGTCAAAAACGAGCCAAAGAATCTGTAAAGTCGTCGTTAGTTTTATACATCTAAGAATAAATAATCTTGATAGGGCGACTTCAATTCGAATTCAGTGTGTCCTGCCACATTTTTTCACAACGACGCATTTTGAAATAAAGAATGCATTTTGTAATAACTTGCTCATTTTGATATAATAGTTGCAGCATTTTGTAATAAAGACGACCTACACACTTTGTTATTAGTGCTCCGGCATGTAATAATTGTCGGTGTACGCAATTTGAAATAACACCCTGACCGAAATTGTACTAATCTCGACTTTTGTCACGAAAGCATAGAAACAATAAAGAAATAAAATAGTATTGTTGAATTTGATGACGAGCTACGACTATGCGTAAATTATTTCAAAATGCGTGATCATTACAAAATGCCGCAGATCACGCTGAATTTGCCGCACAGTTTCAGGCACGTTTAGCTAAAAGATGGATGTGGTGTTGCCATAGCAATTTCTTGTGTAGAGAAGATCGCAACCTAAAAAGCAATTAACTCCACAAAATTAGCTTTTTTTCAGTTCTTGATTGTGATACTTTTTTTCCACTTTTGAAATGGCTTGTATAATTGTAATAAAAATGAATAACAAAAAATATAACAAGCTTTTAAAATAAGAGATCATTTGCGACACGAAGGAAAGTTTCTCAAACACAAAAGTTTTTTCGTTTCAGACTCGATCTAGCTCTTAATTTGTAGCTTCTTTTCTTTAAAGACCTTAAAGTGAGCTTCAATTATTTTTTTTTTCTGTTTTGTTTGGTTTGTTTTGTTTTTGGTTTGAATTTTTTTTTTATCACGATTTTGACCAGCATAACTAACAGGTGTTATACATATTGAAAAATTCAGGCCCGGACGGGATATGAACCCATGACCTTTGCGATATATACCGGTGCAGCGCTCTACCAACTGAGCTTACAAGCCAACTGGGAGCTGGTCAATATGTTGGGTCTAAATAAATCATCGCATTGATGAATAATGATTTTAGATAAAATTAAATTTTTTTTCAGGTCCTATTTTCAACTACTAGTTCAGTCGTGTTCATAGCTGCGAGGATCTCTTAAATCAGTTTCTTCACCGCAGTGCAAATATATGAATTTCATACATGTAAAGGTGTTATACAAATTGAAAACTCATGGTGATATCAAAACCTATCTTTCCATATATTAATTCAATTTCCCTAAAGGATCTTACGTTACTAAAGGAAATTAGTTATCTCCAAGGAAAATGGCGTTCTGTTCGGGAGGTACTTTCTTGTGGCATTCTTTTCGCCTAGAATATCATGTTTAACTTGGTTTCTTTGATAGATTTCCACTTCTCAGCAAATAAACAGCAAAGCTTGTAGACAGACAGGTTTATTCGAGGATGAAGGGGGCAATTTTCTAGAGAAACTGCGGTGCTGCGTCGTTGGGGAAATTTAAAAGGATAACTTAGCTTTATCAACTGAGTTGATAACGTAAATTGAACACCGTAAAGAGTTAATAAGCAGACGTTTTAAGCGTTATAGCCTATTGTCAGAGCGAATGACACAAACAGTCTCACGTCAGTGTAAAGAAAAATGCAAGAGCTATTTCCCAGTCAATTTACTTAAACGTATAAGAACTTAAACTTCTCGTCATTTATTTTTTATCCCTGAAGGGAATCAACATTATAACGTATATAACATTCCTAACGTACTAAAAAGAATCATTTACTTTTACTGAAGTGTAATACACATATTCTATTTCTTTCAAAATGAACAGAATATTTTCAACAAAGCTTCTTTTGCTGATCAACAATGACCCCAGATTCAGTTCAACTCTGCTGACATTACCTATTGGTTTAACAAAACGAAACTGCAGGTATTTAAGAGCTTTACCATTTAAGAAGCGAGAAAACGCACTAAGAACCCTACAATGTGCCCTGGTAAGGGACTGGTCATTAAACAACAAAAGGGGGGGAGGGGGGGATGGTTAATGTGAGGTTGAAATAGTGTAGCTCCATTTTCTGCATAAAAAAACACACACACACACACACAACCCACGATTTCTCCATTCGCTGTGACGAAGGGCTAACCCTCGAAACGTCAACTTTGAAACTCCTAACGAACAATAAGAGGACGAGTAAACAAAGAGAAAACGCTGTAAAATCCAAAGATTTTAATGGAATTTCTCGAAAGTGGCGACGAGGCAAGTGAAATAGATCGGAATGATAGTTTTCATTCTGTGCAAACTATTGAATATTATGGAGAAAAAAAATGTTTTAGTTAAATTTTGTTTTTTGTTGAATGAGTGCTCTGTGTCAGAACCCACCCCAAAAATTTTCTCGACTGGAGAAGCAATTTTACCAAGATATATCAGATTACTAACGACGACGAATGGCAGGCAATTTTTATTTAAAATATTACACAAAATAATCATTATCATCAAAGAACTCAAGAAATTTGATATTGCAACCAACGACCATTGCAATTTCTGCTCCAGGCAGATTCCATAACGAACACATTTCTAGAGTCTGATGTCTCTATTTCAACATATTCAAGTAACATAAAGGAGTTTAACGATATACACAAATTGAATGTAAGTCCTCAGGACAGAAGTTTTTATTCAATTGGACTGATGAAATAGCTTCGTTGACCTCCATCCAAAAGCACAGACTGGATCTTCTCTTGCTTCTCATGGAACACTATGCTTTTTCGTGTAAGGTTTTTCTGAGAACCCCAATATTCTTGAACTTCAAACCAAACTCCATACGCAATGGAAAATTGAACATTGTTCATTGACTTGATTTTGCAATTTTCCCCCTTATTATAGAAAATAATGTAGCAATGCAATAAACCAAAGGTAGGTAATGTCAAAGCTGTAAATGTTGCAAGTAGCGTAAATAATCGAATTATATAGCAAGTGGCTTTACTAATCATACTTTTGTGTAAGTAGTTTAGGGTTAGTATATTAACTATTGCAGGCGTTTGCGCACTCAGATTGCGTCTCATTGCCGGTAGCGTTATTTTCATTGTGGCGGTGAAAGCGGCAGAAATTGGCAAAATTTGACGGAACATTCTGCAAAAATTAATCCGTTCCTTTTTCCTTTTACCATAGGTAAATTTAATTTGATTTATTCTGAAGGTGTAAAATTACTTTTTGTACGTATTTGTCGCATATTCAGTGGTTCTCACGGACAATCGCAATGACTGTTTTTTTTTTAGTATGTAATTTAAGACCGGGGTTTTCGAGAAGGTCAAATTTGATGTTCGTCGTAGTAAGAAGCCTTTCAAAGATTTGGATGACCGTTTTGATCCTTCTTGAAAAGCACTAACCAAACGCTCTCCAACGGTACTCGATATGTACAAGATGGTCGTTTCACGATTAACCAACGCGATAAAAGCCAGTAATGTGTAAATTGAGAACCTTCATATCTTGCAAATTTCCGTCTGAACTTTCGAGGGAAAATCCAGGAGCAGAGTCTACAGAATATCAATTTCATGTCTCATTACCTCATGTGGGACGTCGAGGGTCTGGTGCGAGCTTTATAGGGGAATGATTGGGATGCGTGGGGAAGGCTAGGGGTGGGATGAAGGGCGTTGTGTGGTCGGAGAAGGAGCACCAACATCCCGAGTTATTGCTCAAAGAGTTAGGATTTTTCCTCTCCTATCGTACGTATCAGGCTTCACAAAATAGGATAATAAGAAATTTACTAAATAACCTCTCTTGAAATTATTTGCATGTAATATTTCTTTCTGACAGACCCCTTTTACCAAGAAACCTCTAAATGGCGAAAAAGAATTCTGGAGGAAGCCATAGGGGTAGGTTTCACTCAAATGTTGCATCTTCCTAAGAGACCTAAATGGCCTCTTCAATAAGTTTACACGTGTAATGTGTTTGTAGTTGTACCCTGTTCTCTGCCTTATTTAAAAGTATATTTATTCTTTGTTAAGAGAGGGTGGGGTTTGTGGTGCATGTGACTGGGGATGGGGTGAGGGTATTTATTACTCTTCCCAAGATTTGAGTCAACATGCATCCATAATTTAATACCCAGGCCCTTTTCGGCTCTGCTGTCAGGGTGAGGCAGGACTCCCACAGGGACCTTCTAGGCATTTGACATGATTGATACGCATTACTAACATTATCAATGCACCTTCAATATGTAAACTGTACCTGTTTGACTTCTGTTAACTAGTAGTTTGGAATGTGACGGCAATGTGATTGTATTAAGGCAACAACTCTGCTTTGATCATTGATCACATCATTATGGTACAAATCTTGATCAAGGATATCTCATAGACAATTATAACACAATTGTTTTTTATTTTCCTAATATTTATTGGACCTCTTTCAAGATTCATTGCATTTAGACTAAGTACTTATGAAAGACTGTGTTTCCCTTGTAACAATCAGTATTTGACAAGAAACGCAATCATTTCCAAGGTACAGCTATGTTGACTGGGGGTGGGATGGGTGGGGTGGTAGAAGAAAGTTGGCATGGTTGCAAATAAAAACTTTGACCCATGTCACCTTCAATTCTTTTCCTTAAAACCTAAAAAAAAAACCATCTGAATTGCCACCTAGGAAAATGGCCTGGAGTAAAGGAACTTAACCTGAAGGTGTAATTGAACTTGCAACCTACATTTTTAAACCTTGTGTTTTGAATCTATCAGAGTTCAAGTTCAAAAGACATCATTACCATGTCTCTAAATATGAAGTTGGTAATGATAGGTTTTTGTTCTATGAGCTTAAAACCAAACTTCCTATAGAGTCTGACAGCTGGTCCTTGAGCATTTGAAGTTTTCAAAACAATTTTCTCAAGACCCTGCTGCCTGGAGTGCTTAAGAAGTTCTTCAAGCAATTTGCTCGCAACTCCCATTTTTCGACAAGTTTTGGAGACAGACATTCGCTGAAGCTCTGCTATTCCTGGTTTGTGGTCTTCATTCTGAATGAGTCCCACCATTCCAACAATTTTACCATTCCATTCAGCAACGCACATGTGACAGCCTTTGTTAGACATGTAGGTCTTTTCAATGTCCAACAAGTCTGTTTTTAGGCAATGGTTGATGAACTTCCACATTTCAAGGTAGATAAAGACATACAAAAGAGCCCATAAAACAAGAGAGAGGAACAAACATGCTACCAAAAGCATGATAGACCACCTTAAAGAGGCCATGACAGCAAAAATGGTTACCATGGTAATGTACCAAAACAGATTTGAAAAGATAAGATGGGTGATACTGCTGACAAGTTGCTGCATCCCTTGAGAAAAGATCTCTCTGCATTCCTCATAGTCTGGACTGTGATAGGATCGGATTTGTAGATGCCCTTGCATTTTGATCATTTACCTGAAAAAAAATTTTCATTGACTGAATCTTTTCTTAACAAGACTGATAAAAGAAAAGAATTACATTCAGGTTTCAATCAATCTTTATGACACCATTGCAACACAAGCAGGTAATAATTAACAACTCTTCACTGAAGTGGACATGGCTTGTGGTGGATATTTACCAAGCCAGACACTGAGGTTTTTCTGTTAAACAGAAGACCAAAGAGCCAATACAAAGTAAAAACCATATTTTTAAATTAAATTTAATAACACAACTCAATATAAAATAGAAGGAAACTACATTGGTACTCAGCCTTAAAGTATTTAAAACAAACAGAAAATTAATTGTAATAACCTGAATATCAACTAAAAGCTTACTTCTTGTCCACCTCTGTAATTGACATACATTGTGGCAAATAACTGGTTAACAATTACAAGTACAAGAACTGGTTAGCTTGGCTAAAACTGGTTTGAACAATTAGATTGAGCATCTTTAACTAAAATTCTTATGCAACAAACATTGTAATAATTATTGCGATGTATTATTGTGACATGTCAATTTAAATATAACATATGAAACAGTGTGTGCATTAAACTTAATTATTACACATTCAATGCACTATCTCTTTTCTGATTGGCCAAAAGCTTACACTGAATTTTCAAAATCAGTGTCTGGCTATATAATAATTATGTCAAGGATGCTCAAGGTCATGGGTAGTCATGTTATATATGACTGCGGTGCATGATTTCAAAGGGTAATCATGTCAAATTCACATGCTTTGTGTTGCTTGATGATTTGTATATTTTTACATGTTTAGAAATAAATTATCAGTTCCACTTACTTTCGTGACCATTTTTTCCCCTTATTCAATGTATGATGAAACATATTTTCAGATTCGGTTTCTTTGATAATCAGAATAATCAAGGTCTTAGTAAGGGTTGATAACCCCTAACTCGACCTTGATTATTCTGGATATAAAAAAAACCTCATCCAATAATTGTTTACAATTATTTGTGCTGAAACAAATTTTCAGTGAAACAGGAGTGAGGAGTTATTTTTATTAGTATACACTGAAACAGTGAAATAACACAACACAAAAAGATGATCTTAACTCATTTATACCTGCAACAATTTCAATGATATTACCTTTGGGTACAAATCCTATGTGTGTTGCTCAGAGGTGAATTAAGCATAGGATATTCAGAGTTTAAGTAGCCAATCAAAGCATGCCTTTAACCATATCCACTGTTTAAGTATATATTAAATTTGAGTATTAAGCTTTTGCATAGAAATAGACCCATTCTCACTGTGATATCCATACATTTCTACAAGTCAATAATTTGACTTGTAGAAAGTAGCAAACTTTGTGAAATATTTGACTGCCATGGTGTGAACTTCTAAACTGTTTGAAAAGTTCTCTATACAGGTGAGGTGCAGCTTTGGAAAAGCATAATAACTAAGCTGCCCCATTTCTTATTTGTCAATTTGAGTAGCACTCTGTTCACGGGCATGTGTTAATTTTACTGGGAAAAGTCACAATTCAAGCAATCAGCCAGTTTATTGCAAACAGAGTAATAAAATTGAACTGCTATCTGAATCTAGTAGTGTGTGAAAACAGCTTAGGTGCAGACTGAAAAATTATCCTAATTGCAAATTAAAAAATGCCTCATAGACTGGAAGGGCTGGTTATTTACAGGAGGTCTAACCCAAACCAAGGTATTACGCAATCAGTAGGCCTCAGGCTTTCTCCATAATAGGGTTGATTTAATTACACAAATGTTTGGGCTCCTATTAACACTGCTCACAAAAATTAATGTACAGATAAACGGTTCAGCTTAATTTGACAATTGTTTAGGAAGCGGTTTTGTTAAACAACGACTAAACTTTGTCTTAATAACCCGGCCGTGGAGTTAAACTAATTTTCTGATAACCATTTTCAATCATCTGGTGCTATCAAAACAAATAAACGAGCGATTAGGTCTGGGAGTAATCGTGACTGTTAATTGTTAATTGTTTTGGTAATTGCCCAGGAGAATTGTAATAAAATTACGCCACGACTTCATAAAACAACAGATACGGACGGCGGCTTCAGCTGGTTGTCGTTTCATACCAGAGACTCGACGTTAAAGTTACTGAACGAACAAAATAAAAATGAAAAAGGTAAAAGGAAGGAGTAAAAGAATTATTCAACGGTTCGCAACTCACTGAAGACAGGACCGAAATGAAAAAAAGACATTACATTCCTCTTTACGTGCGTATGTGGAATGGGTGGCTCGCCATCAAATTTTACTTAAACCGTCGCAGCACGTAATCTGAAAGTTTCATTTTTGATACCTTATAAGATTATGGGACTGAGTAATTTTACTTCTTTCGAGCAAAACGATCGGAATGACCGCAATCAAAATCAGTACCGAAGTACACATTGACGTACTCTGAGCATCGTTCCGAGTACAGGTTGTACCGTTACATCATTGATACAAACTGTTACATAGCAAACAACTATCCCGAGACTACCACATTAGAAAGCTACGTACCTTTATCATTCAAGAGCGAATATCGGTCAGTGCAAGATGGTTGTCCCCCAATGAACCGGCTCGCGAGCGATCAGTTGCCCCAGCAGATAAATAGCCTTGCCAAGACAATTTGAGGTTTTAAATTTCTTTGCCGGAGGACCGAGCCATAAAAGCCAGTGATATGAATTCTAAATCTCCAAGATTTCCCGAGTCGACCGGTAAGAAAACTAGTTAAAATTGACTATGAGACCTCGAAAGTCTGGTTCGAGCTGTGCGGGAGATTGATCGGGTATGTGTGTGTGTGGGAGGGGGGGAGGGGGGGGAGAAGCACTTAAGCCGAGTTGAGTATCGAGTTGTTTCCCAAAGGGTTACAATTTTTTCCTCTCATATTATATCAAACTGTTCAAATAAAACGATAAGACATTCGTTTTTCATGTGTGTGTGTTGCTGAACCCAAGTTTTTTCTGCATCTAACCAAGAGTGCATTTTTTGTTGGGGGGTGGGGGGAGGGGGTTGGGATGTTAGGATGAGAACATTAGTGCCCAGGCACTTTTCGATTCTGCTGTTAGAGCCGATCGATGCAGGGATCTTAATAGACTGACCACTTTTGAATCTGAGCTCAAGACTTAAAGAGTTTTGATAATGTGGCTTAGATCTTTCTTTGAAATGAACTTTGATTGATATTCTATACTTATCATTTTATTATTTAACTTTCAAGCGCTGTAAACCGTTGTGGATGCTTTGTAGAAACTGTGCCATATCAATATTTAATATTTTTATTATTTTACCAGTTATTTCAATGTATCTGTTTGACTTTTATCATTTGGAAGTTTGGAATGTCTACTTTAAAGGGAGTCTCATTTTTCCATTCTAACAAAGTTTTTTTATGTGACCATTTCAAAGATTCACTTTTGTAAGATTAACTCAGTGAGAAAGGGTGAGTTTTCCTCGTATTAATTCAAGATGAGATGTGTTTTGTGGTGATCCCAATATCGCATGCAAAGGAAAATGAAAGATAATTTAGTCGTTATTTCCTGCAACGTTCTTTCATTATAAAGAATGAGAATCGAAGCAAATGAAGTTCACCCACAGAGCTTTGGATCGCACTAGATTCATTGTTATTGAACAAATAGATTATTCACGATGGTAAAACTCGGGTCAGACATGCCTGCACTTAAAAGACATAACGCTGAAGTATAATGGTCACTTTGAACCTACAACTTTTCAACAACAACAAGCCTTTGGGCAATGACACGCGGAATGATGAAAGAGAGGTTTAAATGGGTAAAAGGAAAGGAATACCTTTACGTCAATATCATGTAAGGCAAATTCTCCCGTGATGCTTTGTCGTTGATTCAGCTTTTCTTTGAGGAACAATATTAATGTTATGAAAATTCAAACCTGTAGAATTATATGAGGGGAGGAAATGACAAAGGGTGATGTAAAACGGCGGGAGCCAGTCAGTTAGTTATTATGAGAAGCGCAGAAATGGGCTTTCAATATTTCATATGCAGTACTCTTGATAACTCAGATTTGTTGCCCCCATTATAATGTTCCATGTTATTCAGTGACAGCAAATCATGGAATCTAAAAGTTGTGTGAGTGTTTCTTTTACTGCTTTTCTCACTCCTCTGATTTTCCAACAGTACAGAAATGGGTTTAGACTGGAATTTACGAACACAATGGATGTTGTGTATCTCCTGCCAAGAATCTGAGCTGATTCGCTTAAAGGGATAAGAGACGGGAAAAATAACAAAAATGCATATGGAAGATAACAAGCGACTAAAGCCAACTGGACCGACAGTGCTGCAGAAACAGTCTTTCGGTATCTTTGTATGTTCAGAGGAATTCCTATAAATTGATCGTTTTGATTATGGCCTTGGACTTGCGCTTGATGATGGCGGAGGCGAAGGAAGATCTTTACGTAGCAATAAAAGGAGGTAATCAAACAAACCACGACCCCTACTGACAAGACCCTAAAGGCAACTTTGGAATTCCAGACTTGTTTTAGAATAGACCCAGTTGCACAGAAAGCCAAGATAAAGATTAAAATTGTAGTAACTCTCCATAGATTTACAATTTGCTTGTATGGATCTAAGAAGTGTTCATTACTGCAAAGATCGATTTCATATTCACGTCTTTAACCACAGTTCAAATATATGACTTCCATATATTCACAACCGTTTATTCACCACTTCACGGGTTTATTTGGAACCAACACAGTTGGCTTGTTAGCTCAGTTGGTAGAGCACTGCACCGGTATCGCAGAGGTCATGGGTTCAAATCCCGTACAGGCCTGAATTTTTTTCAGGCCTTCTTTTTACTACTACCTAAGTAGTGTTCATTACTGCGAAGATCGATTTCATATTCAAGATATGTTGCTGTTCGCTCATCTGGAGAAGCAGCTCCACGGCAAAGATCGGCTATGAAATCAGACCGACACAAAGATCTGTGATTGCAAGGCAACAAAACATGACCTCTGACGTCGGACGAAGAGAAGAAACAGAACTAAGTCATCTCACACGAGAAACAAAGAAGCGAACAAGTCAGTACTGAAGTCACAATGCAATAAAAGCGTATAACTTTTTGGGTAAAGCTCAAAACAGATCCAGAAAGGTAGATAAACGGGACACCAGTACTTGAATAAGCTTTACGCTATTTAAGTCTCGGTTTTCCTTCTCTCCTTTAACAGATTTCAATGAACATTTCATCTTACTTTCGCTTTGAAATTTTGCGCGGGAAATTAGAGCGTGGCCTTTGACCACTGTGTTGGCCGAGCAGCTTTTCCATCTCTGTTCGCGCCATGGTATACGGACCTAAGGGGATTTTATAGTAACGTAATAGTTTCCAGTATAAAGCGCGCGCGGGGCCGCATTGGTCATAAAAACACTGATCTACGAAACACGCGTAGAACTGAGAACTGTTTCACTTCGCTTGCAATTGAGTTGGTTTCGCTGACTCAACTAAATGATCCACGCTGCCACATGCAAGACAAACCATCTGCTTTTTCACAAGACAAGTGCTCAATACCATACATTAAGCAACTTTTCAAGGCGCCAAATTAATGTAAAAAAATTATACTAATACTTCACTTACTTTTTCCTTAAGTATAACTGAAAATATTTGTTTCTAAAGTATGTTTTGTTTGCACCACTTTGAGTTACTGCTACTAATGGTAAGCTACTGCTGACAAAGTCTCGCAAAGTAGCTCTGTTACTGTAAGAGATAAAAATAACAATATCCGCTTATTTGTATTTTGACGGTCAAAAGCTGATAATATGATATACCTAAAGTTATTCTATTAGTAAAGTGTGATCACTCGTCGGAAATATTTAACCCTTTCAGCAGAGATCGGCTAGAGTAGAAGTGTGTACCACCGCATTTCGTCATTTCCGGTGCAAAAAAAAAATCATCTTTCAGTTACGTAGTTCGAAGCATTTCTCGTCGGCGAATTTGGATCACGGGGGGTCTCTACGATCACAAGACGAGGTGAAAGGGATTTTTCGTTCAAAGAAGAGTAATAATTGCATCCTTAAATTGCTAATCCGAAAAATCCTATCACGTCGGTAGGCTGCAGATGAAAATGACTGCTTTCACCTTAAAAGAACGCATGAGCGGAATCGCTATCGAATTATTATGTTAATCATAACCATTACCATTACTTCCTCAAATGTGATTGGTGCATTAGCAGCTTTATTTTTCACTAAGTCCACTCAGTTAAATCCACCAATCACAGAATTATTCTCAATAATATAGTAACAACCACTAATCCTAAAAAAGAAAGGAGAATTTTTAAAATGGAGGATTTTATTTTATGATTTTAAACCATAGTCACTGTCTCTACCAAAAATTTTTGTCCTAAATGTATTTGCTTTTTTCGGAATTGTAACTGTTATGATTAATTGGTAACAGTTCTCTCTGTAATCGTATTAACAAACTGGACTCCTGCTTTGCGCTCGTCCGATTTTGTTAATCACTCATATGATTACAGACCGAATTGAACTCCACCCAGTCCTATTACCTTTATCAATAAGGGTTAAATGCTATATAAGACAGACATACAGAAATTACGACTGTCAAATTTTTTGACATAGGCATTAGAGGAAGGGACAACGACCCCTTTTTTTTTTGTTTTTTTTTTTGCGACATTATTTTCTCTCCGCAGAAATGTGATTATATTAAGGCAATAACTCAGCTTTGCTCATTAATCACATCATTATGGTACAAATCTTGATCAAGGATATCTCATAGACAATTATGACAGAAATATACCAAATCCAATTTTTCCTTCCAAATAAAAGAAATTCCTATTATTTATTGGACATCTTCAAAGATTCATTGGCATCAGATTAAGTCCTTATGAAAGACTGTGTATCCCTTGTAGCACTCAGTATTCGACAAGAGACACAACCATTTCCAAGGTATAGCTATGTTGACTGTTTTTGCATAGATTAAACGCATAAATTTTTTTGATATACTTTTCTTGTTATGTTTTTGATATAATTTTCCTGTTATGTTTAATTCTTGTTTCGAAGTTTAGCTTTGAATGAATTAGGCCAGCTTAGCTGAGAACCACAAAGGATTCAAGGATTCATGGAGGAATCAAGAATTTGACCCAAGTCACCTTCAAGTCTTTTCCCTATAACCTAAAGAAATTCTGTCTGAATTGCTATTTAAAAAAATGGCTTGGAGTAAAGGAACTTAACCTGAAGGTGTAATTGAACTTGCAACCTGCATTTTTAAACCTTGTGTTTTGAATCTATCAGAGTTCAAGTTCAAAAGACATTATCATCAGACTTTTAAAGATGAAGTTGGGAATGAAAGGTTTTCCTTCTATAAGCTTAAAACCAAACTTCCTATAGAGTTTGACAGCTGGTCCTTGAGCATTTGAAGTTTTCAAAACAATTTTCTCAAGACCCTGCTGCCTGGAATGCTTGAGAAGTTCTTCAAGCAATTTGCTTGCGACTCCCATTTTTCGACAAGTTTTGGAGACAGACATCCGCTGAAGCTCTGCTATTCCTGGTTTGTGGTCTTCATTCTGAATGAGTCCCACCATTCCAACAATTTTACCATTCCATTCAGCAACCCACATGTGACAGCCTTTGTTAGACATGTAGGTCTTTTCAATGTCCAACAAGTCTGTTTTTAAGCAATAGTTGATGATCTTCCATATTTGAAGGTAGATGACGACATACAAAAGAGCCCATAAAATAAGAGAGAGGAACAAACATGCTACCAAAGGCAAGATAGACCACTTTAAAGAGGCCATGACAG